TCGGCCGAGCGAGCGCGGGAGGTTCCAGCGCGCAGTCTCGGCGCCTCCGGACTAGGCGCGGGGAGCAGGGGAGACCCTGCCACTTACCGGTGTCTCAGCCTTCCCGGGGCCCCAAGGCTGTTTTTAGGTGTTAAGGCTTCTTTTGAATCGTTGGAGCCAAGCCTCTCACACACACACCCTTGTTCTCAGTCCAGATCCTGATAGGAAACTTTGTCCCAGCCTCGCCTTTCTCTCCTTCCCCGTTTCCACCCACCCGGGACCGCAGAGTGGAAATGGTATCCACACACCCTGATCCTCACGTTCTTTCCCACACGCTGCAGATGAGACTCCTTGGGGTGTCTTCCCCCCATTGTTAGTCCTGGCAAAACCCACTTTCCAGGGGGTACAAACTTTTCAGAACACATGCACCTTGGAAGACTTTTCAAAGCGAGGAGGGGGGAAAATTGGTCTGGCCTCCAGCCTTAAGCGAGGAGCGAATTTTGTTTTTAATGGCAGCTCCCTGTGAAAATTAGAAGCGACTAGGTTTTCTTTCAAGGAATTCCTACCCCTTCCCCCTAATCTCCCACCCCACCCCCACCCCACCAGGCGGAGGGAAGATTTTCAAGGGAGCCAGCGTGAGGGCGAGGCGGGTAGTCGGCTGGCGCGTCGTGGTGGGAGCGAGGCGCGGCCCAGGCCGCAGGCTCGGGTCCGGGGGGCGGACAGGGCAGCCCGCTGGGGGGTAGCGGTGAGGGGGGACAGGGGCCGAGACTGCCCCTCATCAAAGTGCTCTCCCCTCCCCCCAGGAGCGACACTTCCCTTTGGAGTCCGAATAAAATACGGTAACAGAATATGATGGAGGGCACACCGCTTCCTTAACTGCTTCTCAAAGGGACTCGGGAAGATCTCCTCAGGACCTTTAATAAGGCTTTGCTCGGTTCTTTTGTTGATCTCTCCAAATCAACTTCTTCTAATTGAAGTTGGAGCTGAAAGCGAGCTAATGTTCAAAGAAAGTGGCCGCCAGACCAACGAAATTACATTTTTTTTTTTTTTTACGATGAGGGAACATCTAATCAAAGGGGCAGGGAAAGTGGGGTGGGAGTGGGGGGAGTAACCGAGGAGAAAAGGAGGTTTTTACAAGGTCCTTCCCCCCTGGTTCACAAAAGTCAGCGACACGGGCGCTTCTCTCCAGAACAAAGACGACACCGCTGCCCATTCACAAAAGAGAGAGAAAGCAGAATAAAGAACGAGGGAAAGGAAAAAAAACATGAAAGCAAGCAGGGAAAAGCTTTAAGAGGGAAAGAACGTGCGCACAGCGCAGCGCTGGCCCCGGCGCCCACAGGGCTCAGGAGCAGCCGCTGGGCCCCGCCGACTGGTCGGAAGCCGCGTTCCCCAGCCCTTGAGCGGGTGTGGAGGCTCCACGAGAAAAACCACAGCCCACCCCCCACCCCCCAGTTCCGGGGTGAGGCGCCGGCTGAGGCGCGCTAGTTGAAGGGGGGACATGTGCGCGCGTCTGCGGGGTCTGTATCCATAGCCCGGAGCTGCCACCCTGCCTGCGCGCTGTGCGCCCGGGATGCCCGCCCGCCTCCGGTCGCGCTGGATTCCCGCCTCACGCCTCCTCCTGTCCTGTCCCGCTTGCGGCCGCAGCCTCGGTCCCGGCCCGTGAGCGGTCGGATGGGGAGGCTGAGCGCGCAGGAATGTGGCGCCCGGTCCCCAGGGCCCGGCGAGCGGTGGTCCGCCGCCCTCAGTTCCAGATGCGGCCACCGGTCCCCGGGAAGTCGGGAGGTATCAAGTAGCACGGGTTGGGGTTTTATCCCCCCCTCCTAATGAGAGTATTTATCTAATCCCAAATTGCAGGCGAATTTTCTTAATGCTCAACCCATAAAACCCTGGGATTAAGAGAAGAAAAAAAAAAGCGAGAGGCGAGGGGAGAGGGAGGAGAGCGGAAGGGAGAGGGACACCGAGGGGAAAGTTGGCTGCGCGCGGTGCCGAGGACAGAGGCGGCCGTCGCCAGGCGCGTGTCCAGGTGGGATTCGCCGGCTGGTCAGCGCGGCAGCGGCGCCGAGGGGACGGGAGCGCCGGGCGGGGAGGGCATGCTCGGCCCGGGGCCGAGTCCCGCGCCCAGGTCACCTGGAGGCCCAGCCACGCTCTGGAGGGCACGAAGTGACGAGGAGGGCTTTGGCTCTGGGGTCAGGGGCTCTTGGTGAGGAGGTGGTGCCCACCGGCCGGCAGGCAGTGCCCAGCTCGCTGCCGCCTGCGCCCCTCCTCCTCCGCGGCTCCCTCGGTGCCCACCGCCTCCCTGCCGCAGAGCGCGCTTCCTGGTCCCGGATTCCCGGGCTCCTGGGTCCTCGCCCAACGCGCCCTCGCGGGGGACCGGACCTCACTGCCCTGGGGTCTGCGCATCGTCACTGCGGGCGCCACTGGGCGCTTCCTACCGGAGCCCCAGCGTCTGGGACCTGGCCAGGGCGCACATTTGGGGCGAGGGCAGCTTTGGCGCGGCCCCTCGGGGACCGTGTGGGATTCCCCGGGCCCGCAGTGCGGCCGCCCCGCCGCAGGCTGCCGGGGTCGGCGGGTCCAGCGGGCTCGTCCCAGAGGTGGGAGCTGCCCAAGCGTTCAGCTCCGAGCAGAAGGGTGAGCAGCCGGGCCCAGGGAGTGCCTCTGGGAGTTCCGGAACTTTCCCAAACTTCCCCTACAGTCTTTGCTTTAAGGAATTTTACTGTAGCAAGTTTTTATGGTCATTTTGAGAGACAACTGCGTGCTGTGGAACACAGTTTGCGAACATGTGTGGGTACACATATATGTACGGGTCCACCCGCATATATGTGTATTTAACGCCAGGTGCTAGCGGACTGTTTTCTTCAAATCGCCAGACTTGTAGAGCAAGCTTGCTTTGTTTTCGACTTCTCCAGAGAGGAGTGACCAAAAAGTACCACAGGCTCATGTCCTGTTGTGTTTTGTTTTCCTGTAGCTTGAACTTCTGGGCTAAAGTTCTTCATCTCATAAACAACCACCTGCGTCCATTTGCACACAGTTCCCCCAACAGTAACCAGACATTCAGAGTTATCAGAATATAGTTACATGGCTGCAAAACAACAGAAGTGACACCATGGAAAATTTATCCCAATATTAGCATTTTCTCAGTGGTGTGGAATCACACATTTCCTTAAAGCAATCATAAAAAGGAGAGGACCCCCTTTTTCTGGATGGACCGGCCTACGGAAAATCTAATGGCTGTCCTCTGATTCGAATGCATGTGTCAGCAGGGCCCCTTGAGGATGGTGTAAACGTATTCAGCTGGACTGCATTCCAGAGAACCATTTTCCACATGAAAAGTCTTAAGGATCCACAAACTCTCACACCAACCCAAGTGTCCACTCCAAACTTTGCATTGTGACAGAGTAGGAGCAGTGTTCAAGGTAAGAAAGTGTCTGTGTTTATTGAAAATTTATATATGACTCAGTAATAAATAAACAGATAACCATTTTCACAAAAAAAAAGACAGTGATATGATAGAGAAGAAAATATTAACTGGGGGAATTTACTCGGGGTGGCAAGACAGATGTCTATCAATACAGAATAAATATTAACAGCATTCTTGAGCCAATGTTGAGATCCAGTAAAACGTAGGAACCAAGCTAGATATAATAAATAATTATCCAGAGAAAAAGATGGCGCATTCTTGGGAGATAAGACTGTCTTTGTAAACTGATGCATGTCAATTAGGCCCATCCTCAGAGCTCACCTCCAAATCACACGGTCTGTCTCAGGCTATGTTAAAAGAACTACACTGAGGCAAGCAGAGGAGGGGACTCGATTATCCTTACAGATGCAAAAAAAACAACTGCAGAAAAACCCCACTGGTCAATAGAACACAGTATAATAAGCAGATTGAGTTTGATCTAACTATAAAACTTAGGTAGCAGAGTGTTATACACATGGCAGGACTGGGGAAAAAATCATGACATTTTCCTTATCCCTCTCATACCCCCCTCCCACCTTCATTATGTTATTAACAACAAAGACCACGACGACAATGACATTTTCACATTTCCCTCTTATCAACGTTCTGAGCGGGTAAAGAGTGAGGGAAACAGTAGTTTTCCTTCTTTGAAAAGCTTCTTGGACATCGCCAATAACCATTCGCTCACAAGGTGTCTGTGCAAATCAATTTTACGTGATTCCAAGGAAATGGTTAACTCCCAAATTCTGAAACAAAGCTCTTTTGGAATTCTGTATATTATCCGGAAAGGCCAGAGAGGCAAAGGGCAGCGGTGGCTGAAGTACAATCCAGTCAAACAAAACGTTCAAAGTTTTAGATCAACGAGGAGGAGTGTGACTCTTCCTGGTCTGGGGACCCTGGTCTGGGAGCCTCTGGCCTGGCCCTATTGAAGAACACACTTCTCTTCTTTCTTGGACATCCTGCCTTTATTCTGTTCCAAAGTTCGCTCCAAATGTTCATCTTCTTCTTCAGCCCTGGAAGTCAGACAAACAGGAAACAGAAATCAGTTTCCTAGTGGAGGCCAGAGGGCAGAGCTTCCTGGTGGGAATAGGGGAGCTTGGGCCTGCAGAAAGGCGTCCCACACCTCTGGACTCAACTTTCCACACACTTGGGTGACTGCTGGGCAGGTGGCTGCCCCCAGGTTGGACCCCCCCAACTTACTGCTTCTCCTGGGCATCCAGGTCCCTGACGAGCGCATCACGCTTGTCCACCAGAGCCACTAGCTCGTCCAGGAGAAGCTGCTCGCGACGTTTCTGGGCTTCCGTCTTCTGCCAGTCTGCAGGGGACAGAAGCTCTTCACCACTAGCAGGGCCTCCCCAGGCGCCCCCCCTTCCCAGTTCGCTTACCTTTGTCCCGCAAACCCCATTATAGGGCCATTAGCTAGCAGGGTGTCTGGGGAGTTTAGGCCTTCGGGTGGGAATTGCACCCCTGAAACCTGAATGAGTATTTCCCCAGAGGGAGTTGGTAGGACGCTCTCACCTGAGCTCTCCCCTCCCCAGAGTGGGGAAGGGGGCCTGGAGAGGCCGGCCTGGGGTGGGGGACACGGGGAAGCTGAAGACAGGAAGCCTAGGAGGCTGACAAAAATCCTTTACAGAAGAATGGGGAATCTTCCAGAGAACCTGGCCTCCTCCCCGCTCCCCCCCTCCACGCCCCCAAACAGCCCATTCTTCGCTAATTTCCTCCGCTCTATTTTAGCAGTTGGATGTATCTCACACTGGGCGCCATATGCTTCACAATAACTTTAAAAGTAGTGAATCGGCTAATTAGCATTTTTCTTTGAAGTAAAAAATAAATTTGCTCTGCAATATTACACTGCAGCCCTAGATCGCGTTCGTATCGCGGGCCAGTTTTCTTTTGGAAACGTTTGCTGGGCGGTTTGAAATCAAAGCGCTTTTGCAAGAGGGAAAATTACATATTTCTTTCTGAAAGCTCATGTGAAAGGTTGGAAAATCCGATGGGCAGAGTTCTTACCATGGCAGCGACTTCCCCCCCCCTTTTTTTTTTTAGGCCCAATAAAGCATTTCCTAAACTTTGCTGGTCTGATAATTCCCTTCAGATGAGCAGCAGCTTCATTTAATAGAAAAAGGCCCAAATCGAACATTTAAAGCACTTTTGAAACCGAAGCCAAGGCTCTCTGGCCAGGGTGTAAGGGCCCGTGGCTGTCAATCAAGCCCCAGTCTACCCCGCCTCCCTCATTAGGAAGGTAAACAATGAAAAGAAGAAGGAGATGATGAAGCAGATAGCAGAACAAATGAGGACCTAGAGGGGAACAGGACACCAGCTTTTTTTTTTTTAAAAACACAACTGACCACACCACACAGACTCGGCTGTGTCCCTCCCCCCAGTAAATGTACTTTCCAAAAATCAGAGCCAGCGCAAGCCTTTCTGCGTCTCTCTCTCTCCATCGCCCTGGCTAATCATGTTAAAACTCACATGGCTGGTGCTTATTCAGATAAAGCTAACAATGCACACCACTGGTTACCATGTGAATCTTCACACACCACACAAGAATGTGCTGGTTCAAATCCCCCCACCCCCTTCAAAGCAAAATTTATTCAAGACAGCACACTGCTCAGCAGCTTTTATGAAAGCAAATGGTGCTGCAAGGAATTCTATCATGTATTTACAAATTAAAAATCAGACGCTCATCATGCAATAAAGGTTAGAATAGCAACAGAGTAGCAGCAGAAAAGATGTATTAGATTCTACCACTACTGACTTCATTATAAGCTTAACTATGCATATACCCATCTACATATAAATAAAACATGCCCTATATTAACTATGTACAAAAACATCCCACAAATGAATACATTAAGTAACTGGCCACCATTACATTCTTATAAAGAACTGAAATACTCAAACACACATAGGAAAGAAACTTACTTTGGAAAGTGTGTTTCCTTTAGAATGTTAAAAATAATAATTAAAAAACCCCAAACTGCGGAGAAATCACTCTCACAATTTTATTCTTTGGATTTAAGTGAGAGTGAGATCAGGAATGCTAGCAAAGTTTCTTATCTGGTTTTTACTTTTAATCAGCCTCATTCTTATAGCAGATAAATCAATAGGTTCTTCAGATTGGAAAGATCTTCAATATCACCTTGCCTATTTTGGGTAACTCAGGAAAATACACTACATTTTTTAAAAGATATGTAAATAAGCTTTTCCATTAGTACGATGATGACTTTTGATGATTAAGGCTTCCATTTTCATCTTTAAAGTCATTGTAATCCTAGGTTTTCATTTACAATTTTAATTTTCATGATACTGTGACATTAGTGGTCAGTTTTATTTTATCCATAAATAAGTCTCTACTTTGCCCTTAAAAAAATAGAGCTCAACTGAAAATTCTAATTGTTTTCAACATGAACTCTAACTATAGAACTAAAAATGTACTATTTAACATGAATGAAACGCAACAGATGCGTATTTTTCCAATTACTCTTTCTTTAAAGTTGACCAAATAGTTTCTAAGCCTTTTATTACTAACTAGAAATATAATAAGTTTTTTAATACTGAAAAAATATTAGGAGCTTTACAATATGGGTAAAATATAAAACACTTAGGCTATTAATCTTCGAACTTCCCAATACTTTTGAAATCTTTTCCTACTTCAACAATGACATTTCCCACAACTGTAACAATTTAACTGAAAAATTTAAGTACTTTTCATCAATTTTGAAGTCAAATTTAACTGAGACTATAACTTAAAGTTTTGTAGCATAAATCTGTAGAGTTTTTTTCCTTATTACTCTGTCACGACCACATTCATCTCTATGGTCATGTTATTAAATAGTCAACTGCAGAGGAAGCAGTTCTGTGCAGTAAGTGCCTTTTACTTCCACAAACTATACTTTTCTTGGCCTTAGTGAGAATAAAGAATATAATTCACAAATATTCAAATGTCAATTTGGGAAATTAAATAAAGCATCTTGACTATTTGTAGCAAAACCAAATTTTTACAACAAAATGAAAACTGATTCACAATGTACAGAATTGTATATTCCAATCCAAAGTTTGGAAAAAAACCCCCATCCATTTAAGTCACTTCACCTAGATATATAATGTCACATTTTAAAAAGATACATGTAAGTTTGTGTGTTACCTGTTATGCATTTTAAGAAAGGATTAGTCACCTCTAACACCAGTCACAGTTAGCTAGCTACAGTTACTTTGGCTTGGACAGACTACAATGTGGCTTCTGATTAATTTAAAGATTCCAGTGTATTTTTGCTCTAAAAGCTATATCCTCTTGCAACAAATAGGATTAAGTTTTGATACTGCTTTTGAGCCAATGTGCTGAAATAAAGAGATCTATTTATGTCCATCTCCACTAAGCTGTTAGGTTCATTTAAAAAACTCATATATATATATCTCCAATTATTTATTCCTCGATTCAGTTTCTTTGCTGAAGTTGATTATGACCTTGTATAAAGGCAAGTGAAACACCTATAAACACTTTAATGGCAAAGACCTAAACTTCTGGTAGTAAACCTTCCTCCTTGCCAATATATAAATAAACCTGGCACTTTGATGAAAATTAACACTAGTTTTGTAAAGAGCACATTGAGGGGATTGCAGGCAAGTCTTATCTTTAGTTCCAGTCAACTAGCAATCCTGAAAGAGTTTGCATCATCATCAGAGCAGGCCATTTGATAGGATCCCACCGCTGCACCTAATCAATCTATGGAAGACGGTGGCTGCACTGTGTAACAAAGCTAAAATAGATTTACAAATGGGGTTTTAGGGGATAAGCTCCTCCACAGGATTACATATTGATTTTAAATATAAAAAGCTTATCATATAAACCATAACTACAAAAATAGTGAACCTATGCATAAATCCTTTTAAAAGAGCAACCATTTCAAACTAAGCCAAGAATAGATCAAGATGTACAAAATCCTAGAGGAGATCCATTGCTTCTGCAGAGTGGGAACACACCCTTTTCTAAAAGCCCACCCCAATGGGTGCAAAAATGAATTTCTCTTTCCTGAAGGGCCATTAAATAATCTGGATGTTTGTTAGCTCAAGGGGTCCTACAATTCAGTGGAATGAGGCTCCTGCTAAGAACACTACCTCAGGGAACTAGAGGTAAACACAAACCAAGGTGACTGCCGATTCTCAGAGAGTATATATAATTCCAAACCAAGCCAGTAAGACTGTTCTCCGTGTGTTATGGCTATTAACATTCTGTGCTGTTCTCCTGGTGAATTTCGGCAGCAGATTTATTAGAGACTTTGTTCCTTTTTTTCTTTTTTCAGTAGTCAAATAATTTGATGACTACTAAATAGGAGGAATATGGAAAAAAGGGGAAAAAGAGAAATGGACTTTAAAACAAAGCAACGCAAAATAAACCAACTCGTGCTGCCTATGCATGCCTTCTCCTGCAGTGTTTTAACACTCCACAAGGCTGATCAACTGCATGTGTGTCCAGTGGGAGGGTCTGCTTCAAGGACGCCGTCTTCACGGTGCCCATCATCAGATGGCCGCACAGCCCAGCTTACGCACAGTACTGGCTCCAAGAAAGCGTCTTTATCTGTGATCAATAGACTCCTCCTCTCCCCAGATCCCCGGTTCCCCTCAACTAGCACTTTAACTGGCTTAGAGATTTAAAGCACAGTCCCATATGGGACAATGATACCAGCTGAAAACAGAACAAAACCCTAACAATTCTATTAAAGGTGTTTTTAAGAGAATAACATTATTTCCTCCTCTTCTTAAAATATATATCTCTGTATCTATTTCTCCTGTTCTCCCTTCTGAACAGGAAGAACAGGCAGATAAAATGTGAGCTCATTTAAAACTTTGAGGCAGTCTAAAGGGATGGGACTGCTGACAAGACAGGGATCTTTTATAAGTATCCAGTCTCTCCTTGTAAGATGAGTATCTGGCAATCAGACTGAACCAATACCTGCTGTAAACATCAATTGTCCTGAATCAAGCTATATTCTAGGAACAATGTATTATATGTAAAAGGTTAGGTTAAAAAAAAACAACAACCAAACACCCAAAATGAATGTCCTGTATGAATGATAATGTATCTATAAAGAATGGAATGCATATTGAGTATACTATATACCTACTTTTCAATGGTCTGTTTAGCTTTTAAATTTCTCTTAAAGACCTACCATGACTTACAAAGATTGTATCAAGAGGGAAAAAGAAATTTAGTATTCTGGTGTACTTTATTTCACTGACAGGCTTCACAGAACTTCTTAAGCAATTTTGATAAAGTTTCTAGTCTTAAATAACAGTGTATTTTAGTAACCTCCTGAAGGAAATTAGCTAAATGAAGCCTTATAAAGCAAATATGATTTCTAAGTGAGGCTATAATGTTGTCAGTTACAATTCTCAGTTGAGATTAAAAACACAAAAATAAAATTTATGGAAATGTATGAAACTAGGTGAATAGCATACATTTTATTTTTATATCAGCATTTATTAAAGGTTTTTTTTAAAAAAATATAAGATTTTCACTTGATTTTCTCAAACAAACTGAAATTTCCACTTTCAAAAGTAATTAGAATTGACTTATTATGGATCAGGGACCTTATCAGGTGAAGAATGAAATTACCATGGACAGTCAATGGGTTAAGAGGTCAATATAGAATAGGAAAATCAATTTGCATTGATTAGACAAAAGGTTCATTTTATAGAGCCCAAAGGATTAGCTTTTAAGCAGACATCTTTGAACTATAAGACATTTTCAACTAAGTGGTGTAAGGAGAACAGCATTATAAAATACCCAAGAGTTAAAAAAATAATTATATATAGTAAATGCCATAGTTAAACTAGCTAATGCTTACTGATATTATAAACTGTGTTTAGGATTACTATATAATTCATATGAAAGCTTTATAAAAAGTGTGAAAGTGCTTCATTTCTCTCCATCAGTCTTTGAATATTCATGTAAACAGCAGAGTTGTCATCTTAAGAACTGTAGTAGATGTGGTGGTGACTTATTTGAATGCTGACATCAATGAAACACTAAGGTAACATTTTGACTCTGTGAATTGTTTTAAATCACCCCAGTCGGAACAGTTTTAAATTATATGTGACGAAGAGAAGCAACTAAAGCTTTCATTTCCATTTTATGAAAATTTCAATGTACTGAAGTGAAGGTAATTTTATACTTACTGGCAAATACCATGATTTTGTGTCTGATTTAGGGTCATTAGATCTACAGATCTAATGTCTGGGGGCGCACACTGTACTGTGAGTTTCTGGTGGTCTGCATCTACCAGTCGCTCCAGAGGAGCGAGATGGCCAGTCTCCTCCTGTGGTGACTGAGAGCCTGGAGAGCTCAATGGGAGATCACTATGACCAGCAGCGAGCTGGAGTTTGTGGGCTGTGAGATCTGTATTTAGCTGCAGTTCCTGAAAGTCCTTACTCAGACAAGGTCTGATGATGCATTGCACTTTTTCAGTCCCTTAGACCGCTGACACCTTGCCGCCCTCATCCCACCTTAGCATTTCTTACCTTCAATTGCTAGCATTGCACGCAATTCCCGGTTCAACAGCTCGTATCTTCGTTCCAAGTCATGTTCTTTTTCCCTAGGCAAGTTGCAAAAGTTCATCAATATGCTAATTACTAAATCATTAAACACTTAAAAGACCCTTTAGGTTACATTGATTTCAGGCCTCATAACTGACTTTTCTCTTTCACTTTAAGCTACTCCAAATAAATGATACACAAACATAAACCCTTACTGAGTAGACTGGTTCACCAGCGTTATTATTTGCCTTCTTCAGTCCCGAACTGCAGAGAGGAACATTTTAAGCTACAGGAAAGAAGTCTCATTTGTCTGTGTTTCTTGTACTAAGTACCAGATATTTTCGTAAGATAGTTTTCATATTTATATTTTTGTAAAAAATTTGACTACTCATATTAGATACTACTCTTTTGCCCCAAATCCCACGTGAAAGAACTACCATAGCAAATGAAACACTGGGCTGGATAATAGATCTTAAGTTTTGGGCTTCTTCCTAACTCTCTTATCAAGCTCAGAGGTGGCAGAAGTTATAGAAGTCGAGTTCCTCATGAAAGAAAACACGTCTGCCTGCTCATTTCCACACTAGGTGGCATCCTACAAGAACACTGGCAGTGAGCAAAGGGAATCGACAGTCTGTCAGTCCTGTGGTGAATCACTCGCTGAAGATGAAGACGACTTCAGAATTTGTCCAGATGCCATTGTGTCATCATTCTTGCAATGGTGAAAAGGTTACTTCTGTTTAAAGTCACTAAGCTCTTATTCCAAAATTTAGCATCACATCACTAGAAGAACATAAGTATGCCTTTGTCCTTGGGAAGAGTTACTTTTTACCGTACTATTTGGTGTTACATGAACTTCAATTTTATTTCTAGTCCTCCTTTAACCCTCAATGTAAACTAAATTTCCTCCCCTCCCTTCACCATGCAAGTGTTTTTTAAAAACTACATAAAACACATTTATTTCTTAAAAACAGAACATTTTGTAATCCTTGGCCTCTCACATAATAAACACAGTTCTTTTTACTTCCCAGTGTCTACCACTATTTAAAAATTATGACAGTTCTGATAAAAAATTACTATTATTTTTTTAATTTTTATATAAAACATACTGTCATCTCCAAGGGAAAATAAATCCAATCTAATAAACACAAAGCCCCAAAACTAGCAAAAAAAGTGCAAGATTTATCAGTGCTGCAAGACAAGCATGGACAGTGGGGCAAATACTTACAGGAGGGAGAGCTGGTTCATTCTCCTGATTAAGGCATTTTTTTTATTAACTAACATAAACCACTCCTGCATCATTGCTTCTTCTTCTTCCGTGTTTCTTCCTACAATTCAGGAAGATTTATCTATTATTATGTGACATTTTACAAGCCAAATAATAGTTTAGTACAAGTGTGTGTTGTTGGGTTTTTTTAAAAAAACAACCAAACTATAAAAATACTGTCTCAGCTGTCCCAGTAGTACATATTAAATTGTTTATAATAACATAAGATTAAAAGTCCAAGGCCTAAAAAAAAAAGAAGAAGAAATCGGCATTTAAAAACTCCTAAGCCAATCTTCCAAAGCCAATATTAGTCCACATGCATATTTCAGAGCCCCTTAACATACCTACAGATCATATTAACACTAAGTACAGTAAACAGAGTGTTCCACCTTTTAAATCCTCCCCAGGGGCTGACTTGTTATTATGTTTCAATGAAGAGCTCATGGTGCTGACAGACATATGGTCACAATTAAATTTAAAAACAGAAAGGAAAGAAAACATTTTAAAAAATCATTATGAGACTTCTAATAAGACTGGCAGGAAGAGGAGAAAACTTCAGAAATTATGTGAGAGCTTCCACGTGTAACAACTTGTATTTCTCCCCCCCCCCCCAAGAATCAAGTAGACTATATACCATGCTGAAAGCCCTCATTCGGAATAGAAGAAACTACTTTCAAATTATTAAATATTAGTGACCAGGCTACAAAATCAAACCAAACCACCTAAAGCTATTTACGAAAAACATACTACATCCAACAAATAAGAACCAGAAAATATGTGACCAATGAACTCAAATGAGAGATAAGCTAAAATTTTTGATTGTGAAGTTACTAAATACATATAGGATGCACTTAAAAGTTACAATCATTAACATTCATATTCCACCATCATCTCTAACTCTATAACCCTGTCTCCATTCCTGGCCAGTATATCTTGAATATATAAAAAATTATAACATATAATACATGTGAAAATACATTACTGTTAAAAAAATGACAGAGTAAAATTCCTCTCAATTTGTTCCTTCTCCTGCCAAATTGCACCAAGTCAAATGTACAGTTCTTTAACTTCTTTCAAATATCTCATTTTTTAATTGCTACAAGATTATGATTTAATTCTTCAGTCCAGTTTCCACATAACATTCAGAATCTTCAATACTAAGAGTCCAGAGAAGACATTTGTTCTTAAGTTTTCTTTTTCAAGTCTTTTTTTTTTTGTAAAAGATAAAAAAATTTATTAATTTTTTTCAAGAGAGTCCTTTTATGGTGCAAATAGTGAAACACTACATTACTAATTTAAAAGATGGTGATTCAGATGTTTTTCTGAGGCATCTTGGAAGCAAGGTCTGGTAATCTGCTCCCCAAAAGACACAGCTTTGAAAATCCACTGGAGCAGACTCTGGGTTTTGACGCATCATAATCAGCTCATGGCAACTACCAGTGACAGCATTTTCTTTTCTGTTTCAAACATACTCCTGGGGATCTCTCTAGTCCATTTAAAAACAAAACAAAAATAAAAAAACAAACCCACACAATCCAGAGGAACTTCCCCAACCTGGCTTTTCTACAACTCCTTCGGAGCCACATGCATAGCCATGTCCCTCACACACATACACACCCTTATCTAGAAGAACTTAAGTGACAGCTTTCACAAAATATATATAGTGTGATAAACTTTTTTCCCCACACCATCCCCAGAACTGCCACATTCTTTCTAGCATTTGTGTAAGTAACAGGACAATAGTAACCTAAATAATTTAACTCTTTCTCCCACTGACAGAAATGTGATGATTTGTTTTTGAATGAGAAGGAAATAGAAAGAGCTGGAATGTGCTTCAAAGATGAACTATGTTCTTTCTGATCATCCCAGTGACACAGATCGCCGGTGAGCATCCTCATAGACAACTGTGAGGATATATGCCTTCCTTAAATGCTGTTAAAACATAATGGTACAAGGCTGACTTAGCAGAGATTCTTTGAGAGCTGAAACAAAAGTCTTTATTGCTTTACAGTATTTTTAATCTCTCTTGTAGGATAGCTGGTTTTGTATTCACTTTGGACCATGTGATGACTTAACACTGGTCATGTGATACAGGCTGTGATGGGCACAAGTCCCTGGGTAGCAACAAAAGAAGAAAGAGTAAAAAAGGAAAAGCTGGGAACAAGCTTGCCATTTGGAGCAAGGCCAACTGGACCCTGGTGAAGGCCTTTTTTGATCAGTGAAATGACACATGTGTGCACTATTAATAGGTGTAGGTTTTAGGATATTTTATTTTCTGATTAAAGACTTAATTCTTCTATAAATAATCCAAGAGGCTTCTAAGAAAATATAGGCATATTAAAACTTTTGTTTTGAGTTTAACTTAGCCTATAATTGAGGCTTTCAGATGACACCAGGAACAACCAGACTACTCTTAAATTAGCATCATTTTCTTCAATGAAAGGCTGCTTCCTTGAGAACAACAATATTGACGTGGGACTGTGTTATTTTCAGTTTAACTCATGACTATGGTTTCTAGGTAAGAATAAAAGAGCTCCCTTCCCTAACTGTTAGGAAATTAGTAATAATATAATTGTTTCAGGCATCAAGGAAATAAATAAGCCTAAAAATTTAAAAAAATAAATTAAGGACACATTATTCAGGGCAGCAATGCTGTATAGATTGTTTAATTTAATGATAACCCCACCCCCATATTTGATGGTAGACCAATTCTGTATTCCTAAATCTTTATCTGAGATAGTATATGATAAAAAAAGCCTAGTAATAAAAAAATTAAATTTTTTCCTAATACATCATTACACTATTGTTTTAGGGATTTAAAATTTTTTAAATTTAAAAAGCTTTTAAAGCCAGTAAGTTGAACCATTACAAATTAATCCTGACTTTAATAACTGGTTAAAGACCCCTTTAGCTTTATAAGTAACAAAAAATATTAAAGCCTGTGATCACAGTGCGCTTTTCTCATTTCTCCTCTAACCATTTGTTATTTAATCCAATACTAGTAATCCAATTTGTCCATCAGACTTTTAAAGGGCAGAATGCAACTTCCTCAGCTTAGACACTTTTCAAAGTACAATATATTTTTCAAATGAATGCTGGATGTTTCATTTTTTCCCAACTGTTCCTAGCTCTAATGCATGAGGAAAAAAAGAACAAGATGAACATTGTTCATACTGATTAAGTAAGAGCTCATTAAAGAGCTGTCAGTGCGGTACTTTGAATATGCATGAAGCATATAATCAGATCTAGTACCGTCACTAGAGGAGAATACGGTAAGTACAAAGGATTGATTTAATTACTTAGAGTGGGCCGTGGTGGTAAAGCAGTCTTGTTAGTGGAAAAAGAAAAAGAGGTTGTATCCTGGCACTGTTAGAAAAAAAAAAGGGGGAAAAAAGGCAGTTTTAGCTTCTGCCACAATACTAAATCTTAGAATAAAAAGCACTTTACACCGTAGCTTAAAATGAAGACTGTCATTATTTTATAAAATGGTCATAAATAATTTTATTTTGTTTAACCTCACCTGGTTAACTACCTCTCTTTCATAATTATCTATAGTTTGTCATTACAACCACATTTTTGTCACCTTACCACTAATTCTGCTGCTTTTGGAAATTTTCATTTTCTCCATAGTCAAGACATACACTACTGAAGACCATTTTGAAATTTAAAAGAAAAAACGCCACAAAACAACTACTTACAGTTTTCTACACAGGCACTAAAATGTGTAAACATGGCTGAGTTGTTACACTCTATTTTAAAACCATACCTTATGTTTACTATAAACATACCACTAATACAGACTTCATGAGTATAAGAAGTTTTCCACCTAAACCTTTTAGATGTAATGTCAGTTTATTTTTAATCAGTTTTCGTAGCTGAGGATCACTAAATAATCAGGATAATAATAATGACAGGAGAAGTGGCACGAATCCATGTATTCACCCAGGATGCTGTTTTCTTTCTAGGTTTTCAAAAGTACTATTTTTAATGTTAAGCTTGAAAATGAATTTTTTAAAAAAGTAAAAATATGCTATTGTAAATAATTTCTTAAATACATTCAATTAACCTTTTGTAATCAACCTTTTGCCATAAAAATTCTCCATTTAGAAAGATGCATTTCAGACAAGTTCTTCTATAAATGCAAAATAAAGAATAAAAATTTGCACTGAATAGAGGATAAATTCAATGGGGAAAAGATTAAAAATACATAAATGTAGAATGCTGTCTTATACATGGAAAAAAACCCCTCATTCTTTTCCATCATGAAAGCATTAAAGGATGCTGAAATCATTAAAGGGATGGCTGACCGGTGATTACATGTGGCTCTTAAAGGACACAACACAGCAAAACAAAACCAAGCCGAAGAAAAAGGCTGCCATTGTAAACTGTCCTAATGCTGTGATTAGCAGACTGGTCTTCAAAGGACAATGTATTACAACAGAGAGATGCAGGAAGGTAGGTGCTGAACTAACTCATTGGTACAGAAGAAGCCGACTTAACTGCAAAAGGCAGGGAAACTGCTGGATTTCTTTAAGGGACAAGATGAACTTTACGGCAGCTCTGCAGGGTCAGTCATGAAGGAAGTACTTCCAGGGACAGCACACCAACAGGACTCCATATGCTCCAGTTTCAGACAATATTTTAAACTCAAGAAATGGAGTTGTATTATTAAAGGACATGATATAAGCAAATAATGAATTCGGTTCCTATGTTAAGAATATTCTTAGGTAGCAATCAAGATACAATACTCTCATATTCTTTGTTAATGTATATAGTAGTAATTTTCTTAAAAATATGTGCTTAGCATGATGTACTTGTTACACTAAGAATGACACATGTGGGGAAAATACATTTTTCCTTTGCTTACTCCTTTCAAACAAAATTTTTTAACTAGCCCACTAAATAAGAATGTGGGGTGAGATTCCGGCCACATTTCTGTACAAGTAACTTCTGTCATGAATTTCCTCAGTAACTTTAACACGTAAAAAGTTACTTCAAAAGGTCAGAAATGAACAGCACTTGTACCAAGCCCTTATTTTGGTCCAAACAGTCTCTTTTTAA